AGGCAGGATACCTCTGTATATCATTTTGGGTGATTTACTTAGCCCAGATGAGCATGCCAATTACCTCACTCTCAAGATAAATTAACATGACCAAAGCTACACGACATAATTTAGTTAAACACTGTAATTGTTTTACTGGAGATTTAGCTTTGCTGTTCCTTCTTTCCTAGACCTGAGGAAGGGCATGTTGTGCCTGAAAGCTTGTCTAACATCTCTCCCAACTATATAGTTGATCCAATAAAAGATATTATCAAACAAATCTTGCTTTCAGGTTAGAAGGCAGTCTGCCCAGAGCTGCACACTGTACTTCAGGAGGCTGCTGCCAGAAATGATAAGTTTATCATGCAGATATAGCCTTTTATCAGTTTTATAGCAGGAACCTGAAAAGTTTTGGGAATTGTATAACCAAAGGGGGAATTTACACATGTTGTAATCCATAGAAATGAAAGAAATAAAAAAACAAATTCCACTGATACGCTGTGCTGATTTTTTCTATTAAATAATTAATAGGGACATATCACTTCAAAGTAGAATGATTTTAAGATGACTCAAATTTTATGCTTAAACTGCTTAACATCCTTTATCTAAAAGTTCCTAAAAACACTAGTGTGAACTACAACAGCAGTTTGACGTATTAACCTTTACTGAACAGCTGACTTTTACGTGTCATAGAAAATCTATCACTTTTTAACGTCAGGCATTAAAAATGAACCCAGCTATTTTGGAACTTCCCAAAGTTTGTAAGTACTGAAATGGGAAACTTGTTTTCACTATCTGCTTCTCCCTTCCTTTGTTCTCTCTCTAGGTGGAATTGGGAGTGTGAAGGAATTCAGAAGTGAGTTGAATCCTAGGGGTAGTCTTAAGTTACATGTTGGGAGTCTCAGAACTCTTGAACTGGACCCAGGTACAAAAGAAAGATGTAAACCCCCTCCTTCTTTACAATTAAGAGTGGGACCTTGCATTTAAATCCAGGGCTGTGCAACTTCTAAGCAGCCAGGGGCCACACACTACACGAGCCACTCGGTGGGGGGGAGGGAAGGGGGGAGAGGTGCACTAGTGCAAGCCACAGGCCTCTGGGTTGCACCTCATTGCTATACCACATACATGGGAAGTCCACCTCCACTGCCCTGTGCTGCACATACAGGTGGCCCCCACCACAGTTCCCTCGCTGCACTGCACTGTGGGTGCCTCAGTACTGTGAGATGTATAGCCCCATCCTGTGTGGGAGGAGCAGGAAACAAAAGTTAAAGGAGAGAGAAGGTGTAAGGCAATGTTATGTGTTGTTGCCAGGCTTGCCCATTTTTAAAAGGCCTAGGTCAAAGCTGCTTAAGTGCAGCTAAAGCAGAAGGCCTCAAAAGCCTGTGTCTGAGTGACCATAGCATGAACTAGCATAGCATTGCAGATAGCATAGCATAGCATTGCAGATGTAGCAACAAGTCTGGTCAGCAAAGTAAAGGAAACCATACATATATTTAACTAGATACAATCAAACAGAGCAGAAAGATATGGAAAAAAACATATATCAAATAATCTAAATACATTATATTACAGCTTTATCTTAAAATATCAGAAGTAGTAATTAACGTAATCAAATGTATTGAATGTTATTTTGCTATAATAGATATATATTTGTTAGAATACTTAGGTAAGTTGCAAAAAAAAAAAAAGCGGACTTGTCAGCCCATAAACTAAGGTAAAGGAGTAACAAACCAGTGTGAAACAGCATTCCACAATGAGAAGGAAAAGGAGATAAGGAATCCTTCCTTTTGCTTTCACAGGGATATAAATCTCAACTAAATGACACTTTCAAGGTCCATAAGAAATCTGCTTTAATCCAGTTCTAAGAGTTTCAATGAGAGTGGGCATGTCTACACATTCATTAATGTGCTGTAGTTACCAATGCTCAGTAACTCGGTACCACTGCGCATGAGTGCCAATGCACGGGTTTTTAGTGCCGCTTACTGTGCAGTAGCCTAATACTATTATGTAGTAGCGTATTAGTATGGTTAATGCCTAGCATGCTACTGCACACTTGCACAGTGTTATTAGGCTACTGTGCAGTTAGTGTCTTGTGTAGACATGTCCACGGAGAAGTTTAAATAAAACCAATCAGAGATTATTCATTAGAATATTGGGAACAGGTATCTATAAATATTGGGCATAGGCTGGAGGTAAATTTAGATTTCTATATTTGGACTTCTCCAGAGCTCAATGAACCAGAGGAACAGAGAAGCCTGGCCAGCAGACCTGTTTCTTCCCTGAGTCCAAGGGTATATAAGCAGTGTCTTTATCGATCCAAATACATCTTTGCTATCGAGTATCCTAATAAAGCTTTTGAATTGTGACTGGAATGGTCTCACTGATCAATCAATCTCCTCTCACCCACAGTTAACATTCAGCATAACAGAGCCTAGAGACCCTACCTGCAACAGTAGCCAGTGATATCAATGGAGGGGCCAGCGGCCAGGTTGGAGCTGGGGTATTCTGAGCAGGTTTCTTATCTATTCCTTTTAGGGATGTCTATGGTATGCATCACTAAACCCTCTCTCCTCACCTTGATCATGCTTGTGTTTGTCCCTCTCAGCTTTTGTTCTTTTCTGACTCAGACGGATGGTGCCTGACAACTGCTGTAGACAGTTGGAAAAACTGAACAGCTATGCAAACATCAGAAGAACTGACTCTCCCTCTGCAGCTCCCTTCCCAGCTTCCTGAATGCATATGTGAATAAAATACCCTTGGAGCTATCTGGGTATGTGCCTCATGAGAACACTCAATGTTTGGACCACAAGATCACGAATGCTGGTGCAGTCTATCTCCTAAATATGTTGCATGCATTTTGACATATACCTCCATCCTAAGAGCTTACACCAGGTCATTAAAGTTTGATAGAATGTCTAAAGCTGTGAATTCAACTATTAAATCATGCATGAAATAGGAAACAGGTGTTCCACAATATCCAGCTGTCGTTTAACTGTGCCAATGGTACGCACTGTACAATAAGAAAAAATGGTAAATATTATTGTTAATTAATATTTTAAATTATTATTTATCTAAGCATTTGTACAATGTTCAGCAGTACCTGTTTTAGAAACTTGATAAGAACTTTTGGAAAGAGCTTCTTATCCAAAATGAGTTTAAGAACCAAAAGAAAATTCACTCTAAAGATTTCAAATCAATATCAATAGTTAAGATGGGCTGTTGAGCCCAACAGCTAAGGCATGTCAGCTACAATACTGGTTGATTTGAGATATTTCATATGCAATGCTTAGATTAAGTCTTAATACAACTGCTAGAATGTGCCAGATACCTCTACAGTGGGCTGTGCTGTGCTGTGCTAAACAGATGACACGCATATTCTAAATGCATCTTCCTTCCATCTGAGAAGTCTAACCAACTACATCCTGCTAATTCTGGAATCAATAAACTCAAGGTTTCATGCAAAACTGACATTAGTCATCAGAAAAATGCCCCCCATAACTTCAACAATCTTTGGGTTGGGCCCATGGAGAACACAGGGATTCTCATATGAGTCTGATTAAGCCCATGGCCCTGTCCAATCCTGGAAGCTAAATCATCCATCCAAATAGTAACCAGGCCAGGGACAACAACCTGGAAATTGCAGCCATCATAGAGACAGGGTGGATGCACCAAAACTCTAGTCAAGACCCTTGCTAACTGGGAAATTTTCTCTAGCAGTAATGCTGGCAAGTATTTCTGAGGGCAGAATTTTAAAACAATGACATCAAAAGAAATGCCCTTCCTGAGCTCCTACAGCTACAGTTAAGAAATACTTACAATTAGTATATCACCTAATAATGGACCATTTAAAAAATAGAAGTATTACATATACCAGTGGTTGTAGCTAATTATATTGTCTGTCAAAAACTGTTTTAAAGGAGATACAGCCTGAAATAAATGCCTTTACATCAGGGGAGGCACTGGGGGGGAGCTAAAGCCACCCCAAAATTCACCTTAGCCCCCCCTCATAAACACTCCTCCCTGTGCTCTCCCTGCCCAAGCCCCCCATCTCTCCCTGGACCACTGCCACCTGTCGTGTGCAGCTGAACCTGCCCTGCTCCTGTCTGCACCCTCAGAAGTGCGGCACTACTGGCCTGGCCTGTTTGCATACAGTATATATTTTTATTCTCCTTAATGGATTCTTTTTAACACATTGCCTCTCTTCTCTCTCAGAGAACTCAACTACAACAGTCTTCCTTGCTTACCTTTGGCATTATTTCCCTCTCATTCCCCCCACCCCCTCCCTTCTCTATCCATTGTTTTCCTAATTTCCACCAATTTACATTCTCACTGACCTCCCATCACACTTTTAGCTTCTTTCATTCCTTGAAGATCTCAGAACAGCAGATTTCCTATGCTTGGAGAAGGGTGCTTGTGCCTGAAAGCTCGTAAAGAACTTTTTTCCTACTACTCAGCTGGTCTAATAAAAGATATCACATCTGCTCAAAGAACCTTGCCTGCCTATATCCTTAGACCAACACGGCTACAACCAAAAACCCTGCAACATTTTCAAGAAGGTTTGTAGGAAGGCATTGTGTAGGTCTTGATCTGGAATGATTCAAGAATATTGATTCCGGTATCTATGTAGGATTTTCTATGATTTCCACCAATTAAAATGTTCTTAGAGGTCAGGTGAAATCATATGGAAAAATAAGAATCTGTAATGAGCCACAAGTAGAAGACACTATGCTAGAAATGGGAGAATTCATGTTTTCTTTAGACATGGCAACTATTGACTTTTTCAAAAGACCATATATAAAAAAAAACAACTTACAGAAAAACTATATGAAATATCTTTACTCTGTTACTTTTGTGAACTAAAATCTCTATTTCTGGGTACAACAGCAAGAGTTCTAACTACAATGCAATTATCTTCAGTTTTTTAATACTTAAAACAGCAAACCATAAAAATGTTAATTTCATTTAAAACAATATAAACAATATTGCCTGTAATTAAGTTAAGCACTATCTGTTAACTTTACCGTTTCTGAAAGGATCACTGCTTCAGATTGTTGCAGAGAAATATCTGTAGATTTAAATTCTTTATCAAATATTTCTTGATGCTTGCTGTTCCTTTTTTCCTTTTTCTTTTCCTTCTTATCTTTATCTAGGTCATCCTTGTCCAACTTATCTTGAGATCTAGAATGCATCTTTTTTGGCAGAAGAGGTTCAAGCACAAACCTAAAGGAAAAATTTATTCATTTAGATCAATAAAATGTTATTGTCAAAACAACATATTTTAATTTTCTGTTCCCAGAAACAGCGTACTTTTAGTTCAGAAATCCTCTGTTAACCTAGTGGGGCTCACTATACAATGACAAGGTAAAGAGGTTCATAAAAAGTGTAAATTTATGGTAGAACTGCTAATGGACCAGTACTGTGTACTTACCTCCAAGTTCTATGAAAAATATACTGTTATACAATTACGTATGCTTTCTGTAGGATAATGTTTATAGACCAATGCGCTCTCACATCTATACATTTAGCCTGTTTCTTTCAGTGCAAATCTTAGTAATTCACACATGTTCACAGTGAAAATTTATGAATCTCTACTTCATGAATGCATATCATGGATTAGCAGCACATGTACATGGACTTTATATGTTGGTTTCCATACGTTCACTTTACACACAAGAATGGCAATTTCCAGCCACATAAATGGTATTTTTGGCTTTTACCGAGTTTTTTATTCCATTACCTGTGCAGTATAGACACACATGCATCCACACAGCTACTGAAATAAGCAGCAAGCTACACCATGACTGAGCAGGTATGTGGCTACATGTGGTATGTACCAGAATGTGTAAACCCCAGAAACTGAGAGCAGATTGTAAGTGGCTGAAGCTTAGGGAAGCCCTTTTATGTTTCAGCCCCAACAACTGAGTAGTTAAAGCTTATCCAAGAAGCAGGAGACCTGGGTTCTAGGCCCCTCCTTGCCCAGAGGTGATTTGAAACTACATCTGAATTCCCAGCACAGTGCTTTAACCAGCAACCCCAGGTTAGGCATTATCTAATCGAATCTCCAGCACTCCTTATGAAGCTGAGACACTGCAGCTTGCATTTACTATTCGTTGGATAAAATGGACAGAGAGCAGTGGGGAAGTTTGTGCCCCACTGGTGGCAAGAGTCCAGGGTAGAACTCAGGACCTGCTCCTTCCCAAAGCATCAGCCATCTCATGAAGCCAAATACCCTTTAGCTTACTTTCTACTTCCTAGCCCCACATAGGTCCCTTTCTTGGCTGCCCTGGAGATCAGCTTCAAAAGTTCCTATATGATAAGGCAAGACACTTAAACCAATTTTTTCACAGGTGGTCACTAACTTATTTTAGAAGTTCCCTGACCCTGGACTCTGATTTGAGAAATGCTGAGCACTCAAAGCTCCAACTAAAGTCAAGAGGAGCTAGGCTTTAAACAGATACCTATATGCACGTGTAACACGGAGGCAGTAACCCTGTTATGAAGACATGAAAGAGACCGCACTCATTGAGAGACTGCGGTTCGGCAGCTGGAGCTGAGATACAGACTTGTTAATTGCCAATTAAGGATTATTCCAGAACATCTATGAAGAGAGCCTGGCTTGGAGGGAGGAAGAGGTGCTCAGACCCAAGTTGATGGAGGTACTTCCCCGGTTTGAGGTAAGGAATGGGATTTTGTATTGGATAGACAAAGGCAAGGGAGGGGAAGAAGTGGCGCAGATCTTGGTCTCAAGCCGTTATTGCCCACGCACTGCCCATGGGAGGCCATCTAGGTTGAGGTAAAACAGAGGCACAATTAAAGCGAAGAGTCTTTTGGCCAGGGATTCACAAGTTACTTGATACTGCAAAGAATGCCTTAAGTGTCAGAGGACTGAGTTATAAGCCTGCGTGGGTTCCTTTGGTGCTGATGCCCCAGGAGGAAAGTTCCTTTGAGAGGATTGCCTTGGATATTGTGGGACCATTTCCTAACAGTGCAGCTGGGTATCAGTATGTCTTGGTTATGACAGATTACCCGACACGATTCCCAGAAGTCATACCCTGACAGAATGTCAAAGGTAGCGGGGAAGTTGATAAAGTGGCTATTGCAGGTAGGAATCCCTTGTGAAATTTTGACGGATCAGGGCAAGACATTTATGTCAGGGGTACTGAGGGGAGTGTGCAAGATGCTCCAAATTAAGCAACTTAGAACCTCCACCTACCATCCTCAGATGGATGGTTTAGTAGAAAGGTTTAACAGAACCTTGAAGGGCATGCTCTGGGCTTGTATTCAGGGAGACCCACAGAAGTGAAAGTTAATGTTGTTATTTGCGGTCAGGGAAGCCCCACAGGCCTTGATGGGGTGTACCCCGTTCGAGTTGGTCTATGGACATAAACTGCAGGGTGTATTGGATATCATTTGTGAAGGCTGGGTGGAGGGACACCCTGAAAGAAGAGAGACTAACCAGTTCATACGGGATTTCTGAGAACGTTTAGAGAGAGTTTGGGAGGTGGCCCAAGAGAATTTGGGGGTGAGTCAACATAGGTAAAAACAAAACTATGATACTTGTACCAGGGAGAGGAACCTGCGAGTAGGAGATTGGGTTCTAGTACTGTTACCTGATAACAGACACAACTCCTGTCCCAGAGTCAGGGACTGTTCCGGATAACTAGGAGGTTGGGACCCATAAATTATGAGGTCCAAAGGACAGAGTCAGTAAGGAGGAGGCAGATTTACCACATTAACCTGTTAAAGAAGTGGAATGGGAGAGAGGCCTGGTTAATACAGGAAGATGTAGGAGATTTGAACGAAGTAGGGGACCCCATGATTTCAGAGTGGGAACCCAGAGAGCCCAGGATAGGGGATGGGTTGTCAGCAGGGTAAGCAGAGGAGCTAAACAGGCTAATAGATAAATTCCCCTATGTATTTCAGGCCAGCCCGGGGGGACCTAGAGGGATAATGCATGAGATTAGGACTCCCGAAGGGAGCATGGTTAGAGATCACAGAACGAGACTACCCCAACCTTTGTGGGAAGCGGTGAGGCAAGTAATTGCTCAAATGTTGGAGGCTGGAATTATAGAAGAGTCCCAGAGTCCCTGGTGAAGCCTGCTGGTAATACTTCCAAAAACAGACAGTACTACATGGGTCTGTGTAGATTTCAGAAAGGTTAATGAGGTGGCGGCCTTTGACACCTTTCCCATGCCCCAGATAGAAGAGATGCTGGAAAAGATTGGGCAGGCTAGATACACATCAACCCTGGATTTAACAAAGGGTAATTGGCAGATCCACATGAAGGAGCAGGATAAAGAGAAGATGGCTTTTGATACACTTTGGAGCCTCTTTCAGTTTAGATGGATGCTGTTCAGCTTAAATGGGGTGGCCGTTTTGTTCCAACGCTTAATGGACAAGACACTGGCCCCTCATCAAAATTAAGCCTCAGTGTACATTGATGACATTATAATATTTTCGCAAACTTGGGAGCCACATTGTCAACATTTACAGGCATTCCTGCAGGAGCTAAGAGAAGCAGGGCTGACAGCTAACCCTAAGAAACGTAGCTTGGGGCAGAACGAGACTAAGTACCTAGGTTTCCAGGTAAGTCAGGGGCAGATAAAGCCCTTAGCTGATAAGGTGGAAGCCATAAAAGCTTGTTGGCTACCTTGGATCTTAAAACAATTTAGGTCATTCTTAGGACTCGCAAACTACTATAGGAGGTTTATCCAACACTTTTCGGAAATGGTGGCCTCAATGACAGACATGACGAAGGGAAAACCCAGGTTGTTAAATTGGTAAGAAGCCGTGGTGAGGGCCTTTGAGAAAACCAAACAAGCTCTCTGCAGTGCACCAGCCTTATAAACCCCGGTTCCAGGAACCGTTCTTCTTGTAGACGGATGCATCAGGGTGTGTTATGGGGGCTGTTCTTTTTCAAAAATGGCAGGGAGCAGAAAGGCCCATAGCCTATGCAAGCAAGAAACTGATGAAGGCAGAGACCAGGTACTCAACCATAGAACGAGAATGTCTGGCTATTAGATGGGGCTGAACCATTTAGATATTATTATTTAGATATTTAGATGGAGCTGAACTGTTTAGATATTATTTATTATGTCAAAAATTTGTTCTGATTACAGATCATGCCTCTTTAAGGTGGTTACAAACGGCCAAAACGGATAACTACCAAACACTGCGATGGGCCCTTGCATTACAACCTTTTCATTTTTCAGTTGAATTCTGAGTGGGGAAGAAGGAAGTGGTAGTTGATTTTCTGTCCAGGCTACCGAGCAATGGGAATGAGATATCATAAGGTGTTGGAGGAAAACTCAAAGATCCAAAACAGGAAGCTGCGATTAGACGAACCAGCTGGGATGTTCTAACAAAAAGGGGGAGGTATGTTATAGGGAGGCAGTGACCCTGTTATGAAGACATGAGAGAGACCACACTTGTTGAGAGACTGCAGTTTGGCAGCTGAAGTCGAGATACGGACTTGTTAATAGCCAATTAAGGATCTTACCTCCCGGTGGCAAGCCATCAGGAAGGTGCTAATTACTCATTGGAGACATTGTATAAAGGAGCGCTAACCTGTGTAGAAGGGGACATGGGGTAGGCACTTCAAGTGACAGAGCAGTGTTTATTTCCCTGCGCGGAAGCACAGGCAAGGCTGACAAGGAAGAGAAGAAGGAGTTTATTTCCCTTCCCATCAGTACGGTGTGCAGTGGAATGGCAGGAACATTGTGGGCGGAGGGGTGCGGTGGCGGAATGAAGCTGGTAAAGTAAGAGACTTTCTCCTTTTGCTACACTAGAAAGGGGGCGTGTTGTGAAGGAGACGCCCGAGTCATTAACAGGCCAAATACCGTTTCACCCTGTTTGGGGAAAGTGGGAGACTGAGGAGGCGACAGCCAATGGCAGCGAAGGTTTTATTCTTGGTTGCAATCTGTAAGAGTCCTTATTAAAACCAGTAAGCCTCCCATCCATTTGGGTGTCTCCCTTCTTTTCTTTTTTCCCCCATCAAGTTGTGGCAGGTGAGATTGACATCAGGATGAGGGGGGGCAGGACGTGACATTACATTTTGTGCTCAGCAGGCATCCCAGTCGCAGCATGGTATAATGCTAGATCCAAAGTGATCTCAAATCAGGCTTCATTTTCCCAGATCTCAGTTCTACACCTGTACAGTGGAGATGATAATGTCCCTTCTCTCAACAAGCATTAAAAAAAAAAAAATGTTAGTGAAGTAC